GACTAAGTCAGAAATTCAACGTCCAAAATTTTTTTGTTCATCTATTAAAAGTATTTTAATTAAATCAAAATTTTTTAATAAAATATTAAGATACTCCAGAAGGGTTTTCGAACCTTCTGAAGAATGTTGCTGAAATATATCGCAAACCTAGTTCTTTGTAGAAATTATTCCATTTTGGTATTTATTTGTTTATTTATTTCATCATGGTTTATAAATCAGATTATCCAACCTATTCCTTATAGCTTAAAATTATCAAGAAAAGGAATGCAAAAATCAGTGAAATGAGGAAGAGCAAAAACAGACATGCTACTTCAATCTCGATTATCAATGTGATTTTGGTTATCATAGTTGACCGTTAATTCTCTAGGGTTCTCTAATAAAAGTAATCCGAAAGGGTTCAAAATAATTTAATGAAATATGCTTTTTAATTAAATTTACACTTTACAAAAGACCGTTTTTTTTATTGAAGTAATGTTTGTATTGAACTTAACACTGATAATATACGAACGCTATCATGCCAATTCGAAACTTCCACATTGCCAGTAAGGCACTTGTGTTGATAAATAAGCAATATTTGGTGTTTTAGCGAAAATATTGCTCGAGAATTCTTTTGTGCTCTACGATGGTATTCCAAATACTCTTAATATTATATACAAAATGTATGTTGACTAAGTCAGAAATTCAACGTCCAAAATTTTTTTGTTCATCTATTAAAAGTATTTTAATTAAATCAAAATTTTTTAATTAAATATTAAGATACTCCAGAAGGGTTTTCGAACCTTCTGAAGAATGTTGCTGAAATATATCGCAAACCTAGTTCTTTGTAGAAACTATTCCATTTTGGTATTTATTTGTTTATTTATTTCATCATGGTTTATAAATCAGATTATCCAACCTATTCCTTATAGCTTAAAATTATCAAGAAAAGGAATGCAAAAATCAGTGAAATGAGGAAGAGCAAAAACAGACATGCTACTTCAATCTCGATTATCAATGTGATTTTGGTTATCATAGTTGACCGTTAATTCTCTAGGGTTCTCTAATAAAAGTAATCCGAAAGGGTTCAAAATAATTTAATGAAATATGATTTTTAATTAAATTTACACTTTACAAAAGACCGTTTTTTTTATTGAAGTAATGTTTGTATTGAACTTAACACTGATAATATACGAACGCTATCATGCCAATTCGAAACTTCCACATTGCCAGTAAGGCACTTGTGTTGATAAATAAGCAATATTTGGTGTTTTTGCGAAAATATTGTTCAAGCATTCTTTTGTGTTATGAATTTACTAATACAACGTCATAGTTGTGAAATTAATAAGCAATGTTCTTATTACACTAAAAATTTAACTTAATGGAAATTTCTTCATGCAATTGCAGAACAGATGGATAACGTATTTGTGCTCTACGGTAGTATCCCAAATAATCTTGATATTATATACAAAATGTATTGTGACTTAGCCAGAAATTCAACGTCCAAAATTTATTTGTTTATCTATTCAAAATATTTTAATTAAATCAAAATTTTTTAATTAAAAATTAAGATGCTCCGAAACGGTTTTCTCATTGTAGCCCATAATATCTTTATGTGTGATACAATTTGTTTTTCACCAATGTTCTCTCTTTGTTTAAGCGTTTGAATTGCATTTGAGGATGCTAAACTGCAGTATCTGTAAAAGTTCAGGACTCTTTGGACTTTGTGCTGTGATAACGATAAAGTTATATTTTAAACACTTTTACTAGTGGATTCATATCGCTAAAATAATGTTGTGTAACTGAAATTTTGATTTAATCCAATTGCTTCTTCTTTTGAAATAAAACAAAAGTTAGTCAAAACATCTTGTTCACTAACCCATAGTTACGACTAGTCCTGATATACAAATTGTAAAATAACTCAATTCAATAATATTTAATTTCAGCTCGTATAAATTATTGAAAAAATATTAATTTTTATTAGCAAAGATTATTATTAAGTTTAGAGTTCAGGGGCCTTACTATGTAATTCGAATTTCGTGAAACGATTTTGGTATTTGCAGAAATGGAAAGGTAGTACAATACAAATTGATTGGTACTTATTTATTTTTGCGAACACGAAAATTGTTTCACGAAATCGAATTACATAGTAAGCCCAGTGGATGTCTTTGATTTTGTTTTTGAAAGGAAGCTGTCACAATCTCTCGAAATCTTTATTAATGTAGACAGAACAACTCTCACTCCAAAGTTGGTTCGTTCTACTTTATTTGCAAAAATAGCTAAGAAACTGTTTAAGCATTTATGTTTTCTCTTTTACAATCTTTGAAGGGTATATGCACACTACCCAAATTTTTTTTCTATATATTTATTCTCTTTGAAATTTTAATTCTTTCTTCAATTTCTATATATTTACACTTTATAAAAGATGTTATCCCATATTACAAATATAATAAAATTAATTAAAAAAAAAGTACTTTAATTATGTATTTTTTTTCTGTTTTAATTTTGATTCTTAATACTTTTACAAGAAGATTATTTTATATAATTTTTTTCATTTTAAAATCACATAAGGTTTTCAACTATAAATTTAAATTTTTCTCATATTCAGAATTGTTATACAATTTTTTTAATTGTTTTTTTTTCTTATTTTTAATTTTTTTTTTCGTTTTTTCTCAATTAGATCATCACATTGCCAATGTTTTCTTGAATAATCTTAAAATCATAACTCTATTGGAAAGAAACAGGCGTGATGGACGATTCTAATTATTTGAAAAGTTAACAAAATTTCTGTCAAAATTCTTTTAACTTAAAGATTGAAGGAGTAAAAAAATAGGTGAATAGGAACATTGTTATTATGATTATTATTATCATTATCATTATCATTATAATTATGATTATCATTATCGTTATTATTTTCTTATTATAATTTTTTTACTTCAAATAAATAGGGAATCAGTTGTAAAGTCCAATGGAAGGGAAATACTTAAAGATTTTTCAAAATTAATGTTGTCAATGTAATAGGACAAGAACCATTTTCTTTATTTATTGGATATTTGCGTGTTTTTTGCGAGAAGTAAATTCAATTTTTTTTAAGTTTTGCTGTAATATAAATTAATTTTTTTTAATAAAAGTATTTCACATACATACACATATACATAAAATATAATTTTTTTTAATATTAAAAGATAAAATTTCTAATAAGAACATTATGTGCAATGACAAATTTTTATATACAATAAAAATTTTTGTACTTTTTTACATAAATGCCCTTATTGGTTGTTAGATACACGTATATATACATATATATATCAAATTTTTGTGGTCGAAATTCTATAAAAGAAATTGTTTAAAAATCTTTTAGAAAAAAACTAAATTAATATGAAGAAATGTAAAACTCTGTATAAAATGAATGTTAAAATTAAAGCCTCTTTAAGAAAAATAAGTTTTAGTTATTTCGAACTAACTTTCTTTTTTATTTTTTTGGCCAAAAAAAGAATGTTATATTTTACAAATTGTGAAATAAATGATGTTGACATTATGTATATCTAAAGTATTAAAGAAACTTTAAAAAAAGACTGTCGACCAATTAGTTAATAATTCTTTCTTAATCTTAAAAGAACAGATAAAACATTGTAACGAAGAATCAAACTATAGCTAATGAACGTAACTATTGCTTATTAACTGACTTCTCAAACTATTTAATTAATATTTTATTATATTAAAGAATTAATTTTCACAAAAATAATCTAAAAATGAGAATTTTTATCATTATCTTGATATATATTTTGAATTCCAAAACTTCATACTAAAATCACATGAAATTCATTTTCATAATATGAACTTATAAATTAGTGACTTTTGAATTAAGTTTCATTTATTTTTTATTTGTTGTGAAATTTCGGAGTTCAAAGACGTGTATATATATATCATAAAATATTGCAATACATATATACTCAATATGTTAATGAATTATATTTGATATAATATATCATTGAAAATATAATAATATTTACTAGCAGTTATTTGTTATTTTTTTAATTCTACATTTCCTTCTTTTGCACTTAGTGATGAGCATTATCTTGTGGCTGCTGCAGTAGCTGATCTTGATTTTCTTGTACTTGATGTAAGCCCTCATTCTGACATTCTAATGATGTTAATTTGATTTTGCTTAATGAAATGGTCGCTATTATAGTCATTATTAAGTAATAACTGTTGATAATAATTATTATTATTATTATTATTGAATACGATTTTATTATTCAATAAATTACGGAAATGGTTATTTCTATCAGTATGATATTTTTCCTATTGCTGTTGTTGTTGCACAGCAGCTGCTGCAACAATATATTGTCCATAACAATGATTGAATATTCTTGGATCAACGATATTATTGAAATTTTGTTGAAATTGAATTAAATTTGGCCAGTAAGAATTATTATTATTTTCATCATTTTCATTGTTATCAATGTTATTGATTGGATCGAATCTATTATATTTCACTTTACTATTATTTGTGTGGTCTTGATTTTTTTCAATAATTTTCTTATTTTTTTCTTGTAAAGGTTCCTGTTCATTATAATTATTATTATAATGATGGTTATTATGTGATGAATTTTTTTTTGAACTGAAATTGCATTCATTATTAAATAATAAATTATCATTCGTTTCAATTAATTTTATAATTTTTAATTCTGGTTGTTGATGATCTCGCCGATGTTGCCGTTGAACGGGATGGTGTTGTTGTTGGTGGTGATGGTGTTGCTGCTGTTCTTGTCTGAAATTATTGTCTTTTTTAATATTTAATATTTTCTTATTATCATTATTTACTGTTTTATTTACAGATTTTGTATATGACGAGTTCCTATCATAATTTTCTAAATTATTATTATCGTTATTTTCATTACTAGCGATTTCATCATCTATGTCATTACTATCATCATCGTCATCATCATCAATAATATCATCGATATCATTTTCATTATTATTATCGTTTCTTATGATATTCGGGGATTTCTCATAATAACTCATATTCCTACTATTATTATTATTATTATTATTATTATTAAAAATTCTTGAATTAAATCTTATATTATTATCATTTTCATCTTCAATATCACTAGCTACAACATCAATATCTTCATCAATGTCACTGGAATTATTTAAAGCCAATCTTTTAATACCAAATGGAACATGATGTGAATTGTGATGAAGATGTACAATATTATTATTACCTATTTGAATACTTGAATTTAAATTTCTATGTAATATATGTAGTTCACCATTATTTTCGTTTTGTTGTTTATGATGAAATACTGATGCAGCTGCTGCAGCAGCAGCAGCAGCAGCTGATGATGTTAAATTTTGTAAGGCAGAAGCTGCAACAGCAGCTGATGTTACTGCAACCGCTGCTGGGGACGGTAATAAATTTTGTCTATTACTATTATTATCATATTGTTGAATTTGTTGCTGTATCTGATGTTGATTATGTTGTAACTGATGATGAGTATGATTATGATGATTGTGGTGATTATGATAATTATTATTTCTTATAAATCCTAATCTTGATATATTTGTATCATTATTATTATTAATACTATTATTTTGTAAACAACAATTGTTGCTATTATCATCATCTGGCGCTAATAGTGATGCAACATCAAACTGCCTTTTCCTTGAAGATAATGTTGTTGTATTTAATTGAGATTGTCCTGTTGTCACAGTTGCATATAAACTATTTACAGATAATACAGTTGATGGATTATTACTCATTGCAACCGCTTGAGCTGCAGCTTGTGCCCATGATTGGGGACAAAAAGCTGTTGAATTGGCAATAAGGCCAGCATGTGCAGCTGCTGCAGCAGCAGCAACTGCTTGAAAACCAGGTGGTGTTACAGCTAATGGTGGTGGGCTTGGTGAATCTGTACCCTCATCATCAACAGCTAAGCCCATGTGTTTCCTTACTTTACGTTGTGCTTTGCGACGTCGGAAATCACCCTTTTTAAAATCATCAATATTAGCTGGATGTATTGCCCAATAATGTCCTTTACCATTAGCACTACGTCCAGCCTTTATAAAACAATCATTTAAACTGAGATTGTGACGAATTGAGTTTCGCCAACCAGGGCCACGGCTTCGAAAATATGGGTAATTGTCTAATATATGTTGATAAATATCGGATAAAACTAACTTTGTTTCTGGTGAACTTAATATCGCCATTGCAATCAAACCAATGTAACTATGCTGAGGTTTTGGTTCTTCTGGTTGAAAAACACGATTATGAAATAATGACATCGATAATGCAAATCTTGAACCATAAGGATTGAGAGCTGCGGCAGCAGCAGCTGCTGCAGCTGCTGCTGCTGATGATGATGAAGACGTTGGTACAGTTAAATGATGGTGATGATGATTATATGGATTTAGTGTTAAATTATTATTATTATTATTACATATAATAGCTGAAGAAGATGTTGTAGATGAGGATGAAGTTGTATTAATGTTATTATTATTTATATTGTTATTAGTATTATTACTATTCTTATTATTAGGGTTATTGTTTATACCATTATTATTACTAACAATACTGGTATTGTTGTTATTATTATTGATTGATTGTCCGATAATGTTTGTCGATGATAATTGAGATGATGAAGTTATAGAAGATGATGATATTGCCGCTGCAGCAGCTGCTGCTGCTGCTTGTTGCTGATGTTGTTGATGTTGATGATGAGAATTTCTTAAACGTTCAACCATCGCATAGTTATATAATTGTAACCGATAATGATCTAATGGTGGTAAAATACCAGGTGGAACAATATTATTACCCAACATTGATGACATTTATTTATTAGAAATGTAAATTTGTTATTTAAAAAATTTCATAATATTTTTGCACATTAATTAAATTTTTGTTTTTGTGTAAAAGTTTTTTGTTGTAAAAGTTGTTTTTTTTTATGAATTTCCAATTATAATTATGTAACTCTTTTTTTTACACCCATATTTTGCACTATATTTTAAATTATTGATATACTACATCATTTTTATTTTTAATTACATATTCTTCAATTAAATTTTATAATAACTAAATTTTTTGTATATTTTTAAATTTTTTGTTTACTTTTTTCCTCTTTTTCCACACTTCTTACAAAATTTGGAATAGACATGTTGTATATTGAATGCCTTATATTTTATTTATTTTTGAAACAGTTTAAAAAAACCTATGCGGATATAAACGAATTTCACATTAATACTTAATTCATTTAAATATTTTTAATTATTAAGTTTAATTTTAAATTTATTTAAAAAAACGGCATTAGAATCAATGCTTTTTTTTAATTCTAACAAAAAAAATTTATTTACGTATATTTTAAATTAAGAAATGTTTCTCACAAATAATTAAATATAATTATGCTACTTATTATGGTACTTAAAATGTGCATAAAATGTGGAATTTTACAATAATTTATAAATTTTAAAAATGAAAATATTAATTTTTCAATATTTCTTTTTACATTTTCGAGACGACGGGGTTGTATGTATTTCATTAAGCTGAGTTATAATTACATTATAATTGCAAAAAAGTAAAACACCAACAAAATAAGAAAACCTCAAAATAACACAGAAAAAAATGAGTTGAAAAAACAAACAAATTTTATTTCTTTTTTTATTTTACTACTCTTTTTTGCTATTATTAATTTTTTTTTTAACTTTGTTTAAGATTTTTAATTATTGTAATAAAATATATGTTGTATACTAGTGTAACACACAAATTGTACTGGCTTACAACACTGCTGATAAAACTTTTGTAGCAAAACAAAAAAAAAATATTAACATGTATGTGTATAAATATATATATATATATATATATATATATATATATATATATATATCTATGTAAACAAAAACAAAAATACTTAAAATGTAAACGTTTTTAATTTATCGCGTGTAAATAAAATGTAATTTTTGTTTTTAATCGATTGTGTTGTGTGTCGAATCACATCGAATCGAACGAATGCAACAATCACTTTATTCTTGAAAATAAAAAAAAAGTATTATTATCACTGTGTACATTTTTTTTGTTAAATTTTTTATTATTTTCTTCTTTTTATTTGGTATTTTATTTTTTTATTAACAACGAAAACAACAGCAAATTATTTTGTAAACAACAACATTGAAAACAAAAATAAAAAACACAAAAATGATATAAAAAGTAGGAATAGGAAAAAATTTTTTTATAGGTGGAATATTAATATTAGGTATAGGAGTTTGCTTGTTCTGTGTTGTGTTTAAGATGAAAACTATAAAACCAAAAAAACAAAAAAAACAAAAAATAAATAGAAGATGAAGAGAAGTTATATTTAAGCTATTTGTTTTGTTGCTGTTTGTTTTTTACTTCTTATTATTATTTGTTTCATAGTCCACTTTTTTTATGCTATTTAAATTGCTTGCTTATTTGCTTGCTCTTTGGTTGACTGACTGGTCTCTGTTTTTGTTTTTTCATTTCAGTTTTTTTATGTACATATTTTTACCTATTAGGTACCCATTTGTAACGACGACCCATTCTACAATACAATGTTATACATATAATACTATTTTATATAATGTGTATGTATACAATTACTCTCTCGATATTTCTTTCCTCTCATTTTTGCTGTATATTTATTCCATTACTTGCTGATCCTACTGGTGTTTACTTAAGTAAGTAAAACAAGATACATGAAATGTGTATTTTGTCATTTAATTTTGTTTTTTCGTTTGTTGTTTTTCAAAGTTTTACTGTGTTTTTTATAATTTCATTTATTTCTTTCTTATGTAGGTATTTTATTGTTACTTAATTTTTTTGTATATAGTAAATTTTATATGTAATAGGTATATTATATACATATATGTATACATATGCATATACGTGTTTATGCAATTCATTTTTATTTAAATTTTCGTCATTGATTCAATTCATTATGAAAAATATATATAGGTACTTACATTTTATGTGTAACATATATATTGTGTACTTTATGTATATACAAATGTGTATTAGAGAGTCAAAAGTAATTCTATGTTGTTTTCTTTGCTATGTGCAAAAAAAAAGAATTTATTTTATTATTAACGTTTTTATTAAATAAGTTTATATGTAACATAAAATATACAAATAATTGACAAAGTATATTTGAATTAGATTATTTAATTTATACATAATTACGGTAAATACATAAATATATCTTACTTAGATATTCTTAAAATGTTTATTTTTATGACTATGTAAATCAATGTTAAATCAATTTTTCTTAATTTTTCTTCCTCAATATTTTTGAATTCTTTCGAAGAAAGTTTATTAAGGTTGGAAATGTTTATCATATGTATATGTTAAAAGATCTTCTTTTCAGCTTTCCATTGCATCGGTTAATAATTATCGAAGTTGCAGCCATTTAAGTCGATACACCTTTTTATCGAAAACAAAAATTTTTCACTGGGATTTTGGGGGTTAAATATTAATTTTCGTCTAAAATTGTCCCACGTTTCTGCCCCGGGAGATTGTGCATTATATATGTATAATAAGAAAAAAAAAATGAATATTCTCATATTGTATACTTGTAGGCATGTATATGTATGTGTAAAGTAACAAAAAATAAATTACCAACATCAAGCGGACATCCCACTTTTTTTTTTCTTTAGGAACAACTTGGAAATACAAAGTAAAAAAAACAATGAACACATTTTTATTTTGTTCTTATGCTTTTTGTTTTTGTTTTTGTTTTCTACGTTGAATTTTTCTTTTCATTTTAATTTTTTTTGTTAACTTTCTGGGCTGTTTTTGTGTTTCACCATATTATTATTTTAGTATTCGAATTTCGTAGTTTTCCAAAAATACAAAATAAAAAAAATAAAGGAAATAATATACATTCACACATATGTAGCAAGCAACAACTAAACAAAAAAAAATTAATGAACACCACCCTATATATGCATGTACCATAGATATGAAAGTATGTATGTATTTTATTTTATCAATAATTAATTTTTTATATCTTACCATTCAAATTTGAATAAAATTAAAAATAGAGGCATCAATAAAAACAATTATTATAATTTTAACTCTTCATTTATGTACTTCTTAAAATTAAAAAATGTGTAGAATATAATGTAGAATTCATAAATAATTAAATAGGATAAAATTTTAATTAATTTTTTTTTAAAATGTGTATAAGTACTCGTAAAGATAATTTTTATATAAAGATTATTCAGTAATTAAAATTTTACATTGGGGTTAGCATAATTTGATTATAAAAGAAAAGTATTTTGAATCATTTTTGAGGTCGTTAGTTTTAAAAACAGTAAAGGTTTTAAAACACTAAAGGTTTTAGTTGAAAAGGAATAAAGTATTTAAGTCATAAATATGTATGTTGTTAAAACAAAATGAGAAAAACACTAAGCGATATGACGTATAGATATATAGGAAAACAATTGAATAAAATTGAATAAAATTAGTTGTCGTTTAATAAAAGAATGTTTATCAAAACATTTCAATTTGCCGAAATTTAATAAAAAGAACGTTAAATGGCCATATTTATTTATACAAAGCCAAAGTATTTTAATAAGGAACAATTACTAGCAAATAAAAAAAGGAGCCAGTTTGATTTAGTTTTTCCTTCATTATTTCTCTTTGTATTTGCTTTATTTCAGTTTTTTATTTATGATTGTTTCTTTTTCAAAAAATTTACTATTATTTTCAAATAATTTTAATTTGGGATCATTTTTATATAGTGCCAACACTAACAATAGCCGCGTTTTTTAATTTTTTATTTCTTAATCCGTTATGGTATGTACATATATGTATAGTAATTGAAATGTTTTACACAATTTCCGTGCGTAACAATAAATTACTGACTTGTTTGTGAAAATTTTTGTTTTGTATCTAGTTACGCTTTTAAACAGCAGATTTTATTATATTCGCTCTTCACACAAAGCATAGCCGTTATCAAATATTTTCATGACAAATATAAGAACATAGGTATGTACATATATGTATGTAAAATTTTATATATTTTTTATAATTCATATTATAAATTTTTTAGTTTATTTTTCTTTTTAATGATTTGTTTGTGTTAATGTCAAAATATTATATATAGAAATAGAAAATGGGTTCGGCTTGCTTTTCTATTGTTCAGTACAAACACATCCAAACACACAGATGTGTGTATAAATTATACTAGTATAAGAGTTTACAATTGGATGATTTTTTCACTTTATATAAATAATGATACAAAGTAATGAAAGAGCAAATGAAGGGAAAGGCAAGAGAGAGAAGTCATAAATTGAAAATTTGTATGCCTTTTTAAAATGTTTTATTTATTTTTATATAAGATACAAACATTTGTATATTTTTTAGTGTAAACTATTGCATTTATTAGGTCAATTCAAACTGTTCAAGGCATTGAAAGCTTTATGCTCATTTTCTACTAGGAGAGAAAAAAATTTTATTTTATTCAACACGCTTGTATGTCTTTCACACAAAAAAAAAACCTTTTGTTGTTTCTTTTTATTTAATTTAATTATTTTGTTTAAATAACTTCGTGGATTAAAAACTTGGCAATACAAAAAATCAAGGCCTTGAAAATAATTTTTTTTTTGTTTTTTTTTGGAAAAGCATTTTAAAATTTTTGCCTAATTTTAATTCGAGTTTTCTATAAAAAATGTTGACTAAGACTTAAAAATGAAACATGGAATTTTCCCCATATTTTATTTTAACTATAATTTTGATTAAATATATGTTCGAGTTTTTTCAGCATTTTTTTGTACCTGCTTGTCAGGCAACAAATTAAAAAGGGGATCTGAGAGAATTG